GGATTTGATCAAATAAATCATTCTTTGATTTGAATTTGATCAAATCAAATATTCAAATATCAAATCGAATTGCGGAATCCTAAAAAGATCTTTCAAAATAAATAAATAAAATATTGGAGAATTAGTAAAAACAAAGATTTCAAAGGAAGATAGAGGAAAAACTGATAGAATTTATTTACCTTGTGAAAAAATTAATTCTAGTGAAAATAATTAGTATTAATTAAGATATTAATTTATATTTTAAATATTACTTATTCAGTTAAATATTTAGAAATATTAAATAAATATATTTTTGAATTAAAAGAAATACCAAGAAATAAGTTTCTTTTAAAAAAGCTGTAGGATTACAATCTACTTTACAAAATGAATCACAAATATAATTGTAAATTGTTGAAAAAATTTTGAAGTAACTTTTAAATATTATAAAATAACTTATAATACTTTACATTATTCATGGAAAAAGTTAAACATAAAATGTAATTTAACTTGTTATCTAGAAAAAAAATATTTAAACTTGTAATAATTCAATTTAGTTAGAATTATAAAATTAATTTTTAAATTTTTTTGTAATAAACATATAAAAATACTATTAAATATATTTATAAATATTTAAATAAACGTCAAAGGATTTAAAGTACAGTTAAATCTTTTTATAATAAATTTTTATATTCTAAAATTTAGTTATTGTAAATTATGTGTGTAATTCCAAATTTTATTAAATAAAATAATTGAATATAACAAATGAATTTTAATAATAACTTACTATTATATATATAACAAATTGAAGATTCTATATTAAGTATGATAAATCAGTTTTTTATTAACAAATTTTTATATTAAATTTAAGGAATATAACAATTTTAGTTCTTCTATTACTATTAATAGAAATATTATATTATAAAATAAATTAAATTTCTATAGGATTAATTAGTATTAAAACTTAGATTAATTAATGTTAAATCTAGGAAAAATCAGTATTGAATTAGTAATAATTAATAAGTTGATTCAATTAATTTAATTTCTATAATTCAAATTACGATTGCATAAATTTTAAAATTGTAAAAGTTTCAATTTCAAAAATTGTATAAATTTTAAATGTAAAAAAATTAGATTATTTCTTTGAATTATTGAATTTTAAAGATTGTTAAAAACTTATTATTATATACTGAATTTAAATATTATTATATAGTAAATATATTGTTAAAATTAAGTAAAATGTTATCAAATTTTCTCGTTAACAAATTGTGATCTTAAAAATGATGATTTATAAAAAGGTTTAATTATAATATTTATATTGAAATATTGAAATATAAAAATTAATCATTAAACATTATAAATAAAACATTATCAGTAATATATTAAAATAAATATTAAAAAATAAAAATTATTTAAAAATTGTAAATATCATAATAAATATTTATAAAACTAATAAAATAAATTTCTTTTATTTAATTCTTTTTAATTTATTCTATTTTATTTATATTGTTCCTATTCAATAGCTCTAGCATTCTTTTTTGTTAATGTTATATAATAGCTTTACTATATCATATATAGCTTATGTTAACTAACACCAAATATAATTTGATATCATTTTAATTGCAACACTATAATTAAGATAAAAAAATTCTTTTTCAACTATAACTCCTTCATATTCTTCATATATAACTAAAAGTTATATCTGATTTATCATTATCTCTATGATCAACAACTTCAAAATTTTCTGTACAAAATACGCTATTATATATAACTATACTAAAGTATCACCATTATTATCATATATTTTTTTGCTTTAAGATGAAATTGTTTATCTTTATAAACATATTTACTAACAGATAAAAATAATTGTTTTGGTTTTAAATTATAACTAACCATTTTTTCTAAGCTATCATAATCTTTTTCAACTTTTTCATGATTAAGTTTAAAATATGCATTTACTATAAATTTCATTTTATAACCAAAATGAATTGATACATCTTTTAGCTGCTTTATGTTGTTAACCATATGTTCAATTGTAGAACTATAGGTAACATTAACTTGATAATAGGAAATAATGCATATATTAAATTATGATTACTATGAGATAAGTTTTAATTTTATAACAAAATAATAAACACCTTTAGACACGTTAAAGGGAAAATATAGATTATTGTATAGAAAGAGATTCTTTTTATTGTAGATTTGTATGCTTAGAAATCCTTACTTTTGGATTCTAAGTCTTGAATTCATACTTTTGAATTGTTCTTTTACAAGAATAACTTTTTATCCTATTTATACAAAATTACAATTATAATAAAAACTATATTTAATATTACTTTATAATAAATAAATAAAATTGATAATATAATTAATAAAGTTAAAATATAAAATAAATATATATAATATGAAATAAATAAATAATATAAAATTATAAAAATGTTAAAAAGTTAAAAATGTTAAATAAGTTGAAAAAGTTAACAATTATGATGCTAATTTCTTTATTATTTAATAAATCTAAACAAGTAACAAATTTTCCACAATATTTGTTAGCTAGATCTATATTGTAATTAACTTGAATCATTTGAACTAGTTTTATCATTATTTGATTTAAATGATTACTATTAACTTTAATTCTATTAACCCAACTATCAAACAAATTACTATATTTATTTTTTTCTTTAGTTAAAAATAGAGAAAATACTGCAATAGGATCCTAATAAATAAGAAATTAAATAAGAGAATTAAAAATTTAAATTAATAAAAATAAAGTAATTTAATCTTAAATTATTTGTATTCAAAAGCAAATAATTTTTATTGTATTGTAGATCTCGCATTGTAAAAATTAGCCATAAAAAATATACTTTCTAATATAAAAATTTATAATTAGAAATTTTTTTTACTTACAATATCTTCAACTCCATGATTTATCAACCAATATTTATATCCTATAGGTTCTCCAAATAAAATTTTACAATGTTTGTCATCTATTTCTTGAAGTAAATCCATAATAATATCTTAAATTTCCTTAAAAAAATCTAAAAAATAATATTTATTAAAATAATTTTTAATCGATCTTATTAAAATTTTATTTCAATTATAAATAAATTACCTTAATAAATTTGTTTCTTTAAAAAAAATTCGGTATACATTTGGTGGTAGTGAAAAAAAAGGTAAAAGAATAAAAGTAAAAAAGCTTTAACAAAGGAAAATAAATATTAATAAGAAATTTCTTATTTTTAACAAATAAAAAATTAGATTGAAAAATAATAGGAAATAAAAAAGTTTATAAGTAAAAAAAAAAAAATTATTTGATTTTTTAAAAAAAAAAGAAATTTAGTAAAATAATTAAAAAAAGTATATATTTTTAAAAAAACACAATAGAAGAAGAATCAAAGATAAAAGAATATAAAAAAAATTTATTTGTTAAAAAAGAAACGGTAAAAAGAAAAAATATTAAAAAATTGATTAAAGTAAAATAATGATTCGGGCGAAACTAGTTTTGCCCAATTTGATCTACAAAGTGTTTCCAAATTAAGGTTTCGGATAGTTTCGGATTTGAGAAAATGGTTTCGCCTGAAACACTAAAGTAAAAGAAAAAATATACTATAATAATAAGAAAAAAAAAATAGTTAAAGAATAAAGTAATGAAAGAAAATTAAAATTTTTTTTTAAATGTAACTGGCGTAACTGGTAAATAAGAATTTGTTTGTTGCGGTAAAAAAATATTTTTTTTTTGAAAAAGAAAAAAAAAAATAATTTAAAAAAGTAATTATATTATCGTTATATAAAAATTTTGTGTAATAATGCAAAAAAAAAATTGTGTAATTATTTATATAATTATGATTTTTTTTTTCGATATAGACTGTTTATGCAAGAATTCTTTTTAAATTATAAATGTTGTATTTGATTTTTTGAACGATGAGTCGCTTAAAATGATACTGTGGTGATTTCCGTTTTCAATAAATATTTGGTCAAAGATGCTTCATTGGAAAATACATTATCGTTATTGAGTTGTAGTTTTGAAATTTAATTATTTGATAGTTGGTTAGTACATGTACTCCAATTTTCCTAGATGGCTATTGGTTGGATTCAATCGTGAAAATTTTGATTGACATGAAAAACGTAAAAATCATTTTTAATATATTCATTTGAACAAATTACGACACACACATACGGACTTTCATGAACAATAAATTAATCTGCTATCTTCATTTTTTGAACCTTGGGGCCTACACAGTCAGACTCAGCGACCCCCAAATTTGATTAATAAAGTATAACGAAACACAGGTCATCAGATTATAGAAAGCAGTTAGTTTCTAAAGTTTGATTAAGTTATATGACGCAAATTTAACTTGAATTTCTGCAATATTTAGTTAAATATGTGACATAAGCAATTGCGCGTGGTTATTTATGACAAATAATTAGACAATTCCTTGCAGATCATCATGCGAAAAAAATATAAAATATAAAATATTTTTTACATTGTTTAAATGTGAAAAGCTGCCAAATGTTTCGATATAACATATTGCTTATTTTTCTCCTTCAATTGATTACGCTTGTTAATTCTTATAAACTTATAGGGCGTTCGCTTCATACTGCAAATTACATAAATGATAAAATTTACTTTCTTGGAGGTGAAACAGATACAGCATCATATACAAATGATTTTTTTTATTTAGACGTTTCGGCTCCCTTTACTCTAAATTCTTTGCCAATAGTTGATTTGACCAGAAATGTTCAGATTGCTAAACTTCAAAGAGCAAGTTCAACCGTGTGTGGTCCTAATAAAGATACAATCTTTCTGTTTGGTGGTTGGATTGACATCGATGAAAGTGCTGCATCATTAGTTTATACATTCAACATTAGCGTTCCACAATGGACTAATACAAATATTAGAGGACCTCAACCAAATAGACGTGTAGCGTCATCAGTTGTCTGTGATGATAAAGATGCAAGGATGTATATATTTGGTGGTACTAACAACGAAGGTTATAAAAATGATTTTGATATTTTAGACACAGATCAAATAACGTGGTCATTGGGGAATAGAATAAATATCCCACCTCCTATGGACTTGGCTACCGCAAATTTATTATCGGATGGGAAAATCGTCTATCTTGGAGGTTATAGTAATGGACAACTAATTAGCATGTCAAAGGTTTGAATTTAAATTTGATATTTATACGTGCTTGTCACATCATATTTGATTCTAACATCCAAAAAAATCCAAAAAATAGATTTATTTATATGACACCATTAATGATGAATGGTTACGAATGGTTGGTTATAATCTATTTAAATTTTTCTCGAATTATTTAATAATTTTGATATAAATTTACCAATACATCCTTTCAAATATTCATAGATTACAATGGATACTCCACCAAATGGTAGAGCTTGGCACTCAGCCGTCTTAAGTATGTCTAATTAAATTTATTATTTTGTGCTATTTCTATTTTACGATAAAGCAAGGCGACCTAATTGTTTTGATTCAACCTAGCACATGATGGTCGCATTATTGTCTACGGAGGAGTTCCGGTTTCCTCTTATGATAAATTATCGGTTCTAGATACCACCGTACAACCCTTTAGATGGAGTATTCCCGAAATTATATTTACCCCTAGTTCTGCACCATACATGGGACATACAGCTACTCTTGTTGGAAATTTAATGATTGTTGCATTTGGTATAATTTGAAATTTAGACTTACTTGAATTAGCAAATTTATTTAAAAGTACTAAAAGGTTTATAAATTTTATAGGTTTGATCGATAAAGGTTCAGCTCCTGATGTTTACAGTAATCAAATTCTTATGCTTGACATCAGTGATAAATATGATTACAAGTGGGTCATGAATTTTACTCCAAATACTACTGTACCGGACCCTGTACCAGCTCCATCACCAGCTCCGGATTCAAGCCATAAAGCACTTTTTATCTCATTTGCCGTGATAATTATTGTAATTATAATTTGCTCGTTATATTATTATATATATTATGTTAGGTATGCAAATGCGAGAGATCGTGTCCCACTATTATCTTAAGATTCAAAATCAAATCGTTAATAGCAAGCATTAAAGAAGTTCTTTCTTTATTCTTCATTATAAATTTTAAAATTATAAGAAGTTAAAATCAAAATTATAAGATAATAGCGCGATTTTTTTTTTTAAAAAAAAGTTTTTATTCAACATTTAATTTTATAAATGTTTTGTCATGTTTATTAAATTTGGACTTCTTAAATATTTCTAAGTAATTGTCATTCATTTCTTTTTTTATAATTTAATTTTTTTTCAATAAATTGTCCATCTCAAATACAGTATTTGATTTTTGAGATTAAGATATTAAATGTCTTTTCAATAGTCAATATCTCTGTGATTTAATTTTGCATTAAAAATTATTTTGTATATGATTTCCCTTTTCCTCTTCATCTCGTATGCTTCAAGGGACTAATTACGTCAAAGATATGCGATGCGACTAACAAATGAGAAAAAATTTCTTTCTTATCACAGCTTACTATTTCACATCCCATTTCCCTCGTACTTGAATTAATTTTATTAATCGTAAGTATATTCATTTAGACTACGAACGTTGAAGTATGATCTTAATTTTTTTTGTTTATTTTTTTGAATTATTTTTCTCTTTTTTATATCTTTTTAATTATCGTGTTTTAACAAATAATACTGAATAAAGGTTTTTTGAGTAATCTCTCTATAAACAAAATAATCTTAAGAGTAGAAATTTGGAATTTCATGTCCTCTTACTTTTTTTCCAAGTTACGAAATGTAAGTTAATACAATATATATGAAATATAAATTTACAAGTTTTATAACGTATTTCAAGTTATCATTATATATTTTTTTTAAATTGTCGGAACTATTTTTAAATCATATTAGAGGTGAAGAAAAGAAATACTATTAATCGCATGGATTCCGGCATTTCGGAATAAATAGGATCGTTCTTTTCCCTTAAGGTCTATTACAGAGCGCCGGTTAAGATAGTAAAACATATTAAATAAAACCTTTTCTTTTAGTGATAAATTGTTAAATTTGTTCCATTTACAAAGTATCCATCTAAAATAAAGTAAAAATTAAAAAACATTTCCCATAAACTAGGAGGTGACAATACAATACTAGAACTCAAGAAAATAAAAGAGCAAAAGGTACCCACCTATATACTCTAGACGGTATCACTACTGCCAAAAAAGCAAGTACCACTCGCGCTCCATCTTCAGTCAAGAGTTGGACTTTGTTTATTTAATAGTTCGAACATATCAATTAATTATTCAATTTAATAAATTTTTTCTACTAACGCTAAATTGAGATTTTTATTTTTAGTCAAAAAATTTCTCAAGCAATTTATTATTTAAATTTTTTTTTTTTTATACAAATTGTCCCCTTTTTCCATTTTATAAATAGTTAATGCTATTTTATGTAGTACTTTATATTTATGGGTTGTAACGATGAAAAAGGTAGTCATAAGTTTTTATGTTTGAATTTAATTTTATTAATAATAACGAAAACTATTCTACTATCAGATACGTTTATTATTTGAGGTTCGATGTTATTACAGGGGAAATATACTAAATACTATCACAAAATTTGTCCGAGGACAAATTGGCTAAATTAAGTATAACTACATTCACAAATTTTATAAGTTTAAAATATTTTAAACTTTTAAAGATCTAATAATTGCAGAAAATATAATTTATTTATTTGGATTCTTCTCATAAAAACACATTAAATAGTGGTAGTTAATAAGTCACTAAGAAAAGACATTGACGTTGTTTATTATTGCAATACAATAGTAACTCGGTATTTCGTTACTTGCGATACTAAAAAAAAAATATTACAAGTTTTATAACAATATCGGATAGTAACAATAAAGGTCTAGGTGTAATAAAAATGCCAAACAAAATATTCCACCAAAAAAAAATCGTAAAGCATAATTTCTAAAAAAAAAAAAAATTTATTTCATAAATTCACATCAGAATCAGGCTCGGATGCTCCTCAAGAAATAGAAGGTAACTCCATGTATTATTAACTATGTTTAAATATTTTCATCATAATAATATTTTTCACTATAAATAAATTATATTAAATTTTTAAATACAATAGCAAATATATGGTAATTATGCTCAATTTTATTAATTTTATTTCAAAATAATAGAAGGATTAGATGGTAAATTACATTTATAAATTATTCAAATACTTTATTAAGATATAATCTTAGTAATTAATTTCAAATTTTTCTCAAAAATATATTATGATAGATCCAGTTTCAGACGTTTCTGATGCTCTTACATTAAGAGAGTTATATGGTAATGATGAATATTTATCTATTGTTAAAATATTTTATCTTTACTTTCTTTTTTAAAAAAAAATAAAATAAAAAAATTCAATTTTATTGATACTTAGATTGTAAGCCATTTAATTTTATATAAACTTATGCAATTAAATTTTTAATTAAACATTATCTTAATATGTAATTTAAAAATAAACTAAAATTGTTTAGTTGTATTTTAGTCGGTAAATTATTTTTATAAGCATAAAAATTTAATTAAACTTTTTTAAATAATTTAAACTTTATGTATTATTATAATATTTTTAGACTGTATGTATATTTATTAACGCAATATTTACTATACATATAATATAAATAATAAACTATTATTAATATTAAAGAATGTTAATTGTTTTAATCACTTAATTAATACTTTTGTTGTAATTGAAACTCAACTAAAATACAATTAATATTTTAGATTGTAAGTTATTTTTAGTATTTAATTATACTTTTAATATAATTTAAACACAACTAAATTTTATTTAAAAAAAAACAAATATATTATAAAGTTAGTAAGTTATTTTTTTATTGATTATCAATATTTAATTATACTTTTAATATTAAACATATATATGATATTTGTAAATTTATTTAATAAGTATTATATTTAATATTTTAATAATATTATAATAATAATAATACTAACATGATTAAGATTAGGAATTCCTATTTATTATAAACAAATAGTTTAAACTCAAATATCTCAAAACTTAAAATTATTTAAAATATTTAGTGAGGCATTTTTAGTTATAATATACTTTTTCTAAATAATAATAAAGAATTTATCATTTAATATTATATAAGTTATGTTTAATAACACTTTATATAAAAATATTTTAATAATGTTTATATACTAATATTTTTTTTTTGAAGTAATTGAAGTAATTTTAAGATTAATAAATTATTTTTTACTAATATTTTCATAATAATTAAAATATTTTTAAAACTAAAAAATGATTTTACTAAAATATTTTAAAAATTTTAGATTCTATCACCATTTTTTAGCATAACTGTTTACTAAATTATATTCAAATATTATTTTGGTTTATATATTTTAAATTAATTTTTATATAAAAAATTTATAATTTAAAATCATAAAATATAATATAACTGTTAATTTATATATAAATTTTATTTTAGCAATTACAAACTATATTATTAATAACAAATATTTTATATATTGTGAACGAATAAAATATGATAGGACCTACGTGGCGCAGATGATTGACAAATCTGACAAATCTGACATATATG